ATCCATATGGCTGGGCCTCGATGGCCAGCAATGATTGGACAGGAAGGGTTGGGAGCTTTGTTTGGCGCGCTAGGGCAGAATCCAGTAAACGGCGGGCCAGTGCGCGCCTTCGAGATGCCAAGACCTTCGACAAGAAGCAAGTCAAACGTCATGCAAGACGGGATAGGGGAACCCGAACCCTCGTGAACCACTCATTCTCTCAAGTCCTCGAGTCGACAGTTCAAGCAGTTTCAGACAGGCCCTCGACACCCATCTCGACTTAATAGCTGTTCCGGCTCAAGCTTTAAATTGGGCAGCAAACGCAAGCATGACCCAAAAGACTCGTCCCATCCAACGGTTCGCTCAAGCTGTGTCAAAATGCACTGCTGAGGTGGGGCAACCACGGAGCAAACATCTTGAAACTCGGGACACAAACTAACAATGGAAGCAGGCTACCGTATATGGTCAATGTGTGGTTGCCGACTACAATTCCGTACACAAGAACCAATGTGCCAAAGAATTTATGGCGTTGAAGAATTGTTACCTGGTGTGTGCCCCTTGTTAACCCCTTTTTAGTTACCCAGCTGTTGCTCCAACAATACAAGCCAACGTTCTGACAATAACCACCATCTAGGCTGCCGCAAAACAGGGTAAATAGAAAATAAAATAAAACCAAAATTTCGCAGCATTGATACACTATTCGTCCAACGTTGTTTCATTTTGCTACACGCCTAAGCTACTGGATATCATGAAACCTTTTCTTTTAGAGCTTGAGGAGACGCAGCAAGAAAGTAGCCTTTTGTACTTCTTGCTCTTCCTCAGCAATGATGCCCTCCTCCTTCTTCTCGGGGATCTGGCCCTCAATGTGGGTGACCTCATGCTTGTCAATCGGCCTCCGCAGAGCCTTGGTAATAGTCTCATTGTGGGACTCAAACACCTTCTCCAAGCCAGTGTTCTCAGGATCGCTGAGCACTCTGTACTCCATCTTGATGTCATCGGTGACCTGAAGACCGGCCTTCTTGCGCAGCCTCTGGACTCTGTTGATGATCTCACGAGCAAGACCCTCCTCGGCAAGGCCGGGGTAGATCTCGACATCGAGGATGGTAAGGACATCGTTGTCGGTGTTGGTCTCCAAGTTCTTGGAAGACTCATCCTCCTTCAACCCACGCTTGACAACCAGGTCGCCAGCCTCGAGGGTGATGCCGTCCACCACCAACTTGCCAGTCTGAGTGTAGGCATACGCCTCCTCGCTGGTGACACTTGGCAGCGCCTTCTTGACCTTGCCCATGTCTTTCTTGAGCTTCTTGCCAAGTACGGGCCAGTCAGCCGTGACGCTGTACTGCACACCATACTGTGCCTCATCCGAGGTCAGCACAATGTCGCGGATGTTGAGCTCCTCAGTGATGTAATCCTGGAGCGACCGCACGTCTTCCAGATACTGTGGGTCGTGATGGATGACAATGAGCGTCTTGAGGGGCTGCTTGAGACCGATAGTACGTCTCTCGCGGGAGTATCTGCCCAGCTCGATAACTTTCTGCATGCGCTGCACTCTGCGCTCAACGTCAGGGTTGAAAAGCTCTTGCCTGACTTCGGGGAAGGGAAGGAAATGAACACTGCGGGGGTCCTGGCCCTGGAGCTTCTCAGGGATGGAAGGAAGGAGCTTCAGGTAGATGGTATCAGTGAGGAAGGGAGTGAAGGGTGCCAAGCCACGGCACAGCGTTAAAAGAACCTCAAAGAGGGTGTTGAGAGCGTGGAGGGTGTCTTCAAGACCGTTCTCACCCTTCAACCGCTTCCGGTTGAAACGGATGTACCAGTTGGTGGTGTTGTCAATCAACTCAAGAAGCTTGGGCACGACAGTGTACAGACGGTAGGCTATAAAACAGGTTAACACGGGGTTCAGATTCCAGGTGACACAATTTTACCTACCAGCCATCTCCTCGTTGACAAACTTGAGCAGACTCTGGCAACTTGCCAAAATCCACTTGTCCATAACATTGATGTTGGACGACTCCATGCTGGGGTCGAACTTGTAGTCAATATTCTCAACCTTCTTGAGGAGCGCAACTTGGCCCTCGAAGAACTTGTAACTGTTCCAGAAGGGAAGAAGAACCTTGGCAACGACCTCCTTGACACCAGACTCCTTGAAGCGAAGAGGCTCGGCTCTCACTACAGGCGAGTTGATGAGGTACAGACGGAGGGCATCAGAACCATACTTGGACATGACGACGGTGGGATCTGGGTAGTTCTTCAGGCGCTTGGACATCTTCTTGCCATCCTCAGCGAGCACAATGCCGTTGACGACACAGTTCTTGAAAGGGGAGATGCCAAAGAGGTGGGTGCCAAGAACGAGAAGAGTGTAGAACCAGCCTCTGGTCTGATCAAGGCCCTCGGCAATGAAGTCACCAGGAAAGCTCTTCTCAAACTCCTCCTTGTTCTCAAAGGGATAGTGCTTGCTGGCATAAGGCATGCTGCCAGACTCAAACCAACAGTCAAAGACCTCCTCAACGCGCTTGAGGGTGCCCTTGCCCTGCTTGCTGGGAATGGTGATGTGGTCAATCTTGTGACGGTGGAGATCTGCGATCTCACCCTCATAGCCACTCAGCTCCTTCAGCTCCTCAATGCTGCCAATGCAGACACGCTCCTCTCCGTCATCGCTGATCCACAGGGGGATGGGAGTACCCCAATATCTGTTGCGGGACACGTTCCAGTCCCGAGCATTTGCGATCCAGCTCGCGAAACGCTTCTCTTTGACAAACGAGGGAACCCAGTGCGAGCCCTCGATGTTCTCGAGCATCTGAGGAATGATCTTGGGGATGCGGATGAACCAAGAAGGCACAGCCTTGTAGATCAGAGGGGTATCGGAACGATAACACATGGGGTACGAATGCTTGTACTGAGACTCAACAATGAGCCTGCCAGTGCCCTTCAAGTACTTGATAATCTCCTTGTCGGCCTTCTTCACGTGGAGGCCGGCAAAATCGGAAACCTTGCTGGTGAAAACACCCGAGTCATCAACCGGGTCGGGAGGAGGGCGCTTCTCGGTCACAATGCCAGCCTCAACGGCTACGTTGTAATCGTCCTCACCGAAAGCCGGGGCCTGGTGAACGATACCGGTACCACTTTCAGCCGTAACGTAAGTGGCGTTGAGGAGCTTGAAGGCGACATCCTTGTATTCCTCATAGAAGTAGTCGAATGGGGGCAGGTACTTCCAGCCGAGCATGTCCTTGCCCTTGTACTTGGCGAGGACCTTGAACTTGGCCTTCTTGGGGTCCTTGTAGAGCGTCGAGAGCAGCTTCTCGAGGATGATGAAGTTCTTGCCCGTCTTTTCGTCGGCAATCTTGACGTATTCGAAGTCTGGATGCGCCGCCAGACCAGTGTGAGATGGCAGGGTCCAGGGGGTGGTTGTCCAGGCGAGGAAGTTGGTCTCGGGCTCGTCAACGAGGGGGAAGGCGACGACAACGGCGGGATCGGTGACATCCTGGTAGTTCTGGTTTGCCTCAAAGTTGCTCAGAGCAGTGGTGAGTGCGGTCGAGTAGGGCATCACACGGTAGCCCTGATATACCTCTCCCTTATCGAACAGCTGCTTGAACACCCACCACTCGGACTCCATAAAAGTAGGATCCATGGTCTTGTAGTCGTTGTCAAAGTCGATCCAGCGACCTAACCTCTCAATGGTGTGCCTCCACTCTTCGGAATATCTCATGACAATTCCTCTGCACTCCTCGTTGTACTTCTCCAGACCCATCTCCATCACAGCGGCCTTGCCGGAAATACCGAGCTTCTTGTCGATCTCATGTTCGATGGGAAGACCGTGGGTATCCCAACCAAAGCGGCGCTCGACATGGAAACCCTTCATGGACCAATACCTTGGGATAATGTCCTTGATGGTGGAGGCCAGGAGATGGCCATAGTGAGGCAGACCCGTCGCGAATGGGGGGCCATCGTAGAAGGTGTAGTTGGGGTTGCCAGCAGAGAGCTCGACCTATGCTATGTATAAGCACACGCACCACCACAGCAGCAGCAGCGAGGTGTAGAGGTTGGCGCCCTGGTCGCGCCAGGCGGTGTGCGCACCTGTCTCTCAAAGGCCTTGATCTCGCGCCATCTTTGGATAGTGGCCTCCTCCTCCTTCGGGAAATCGATGGACATCTTGAAACCAATGCGCTCGCAGAAATCGCCCTAGTAGCGAGGGAGGTGTTAAAGGTCAGTCCTGTGATCCTGCTGGCAATACGAAAAACAGAGAAGGAAGAGAGAAAAGGCTATAGGCATAAGTGAAAAGCGGGCCTGACTCACTTGGGATACAGGCGGTGCAGACGTACCGGTAACTGCTTGGAGGGCAATAAATTTCGAAGTTAAAGTGTGACTCGAAATTCAAAGACGACTGCGCTGGCCTTCTGCCCCAGAACAACTTTTGGAGGGGTTGACTGCGGGGTCTGGCAGCAGCCTTGCAGCGCCCCGCAAAAATCAACCCAATCGACTGTTAGAGCACAACTCTGCGACACGCCAAGATCGCAGCGCATCTCAGCCTCACATCCACCATCCAGTAAGTAGCCCCCTAACACCAACCAGGGTTATGATAGGCTTGTGATCCATCCATCTTAGCGCCCGTGCTGACCCTGTCACTGCTCTCCCCTCCCTGTCGGTGCCCGTGGCAGCGGCAGGAACAACAACATCCTGGGCCTGTGACGGATTGAGTTGCCATCACAACAATTGCCCCTTTTCCAGCTGACCTTTTGTGTTTGAGGCCAGATTGGGCTTTGCCAGACTTCATTCTGAAGAGCAAAAATGCACTCTGCGTGAGCGGGCATTTGTACAACTCTTCTGTGGCTAAACCGGGGATCCGATACCGCTTGTCGATAAGATCAATCACCTGGGCCCCCAAGGTGCCCGCCAAGGCTTGCTTCCCGTCTCCGAGACTGTACATACATACATCATTCTCAACTTGTCTCCGACTCCTAGGACGACCCTGTACCCGATTCTGACTGTCGAACTTGCGCTTCGCTGCGCCGGCGGATTCCAGCAACATGTCTTTTCTTTTTGGGCGGACGCGCACAAGGACCAATGCGACCGACCTGCCCAAGCAGGCGAGGGAGTATATCTCCAAGTTGGAGGGACCGCAAGGAGGGCCAAAGGTAAACATTGATGATTCTACAATGCGCCCAGCAAGATCTAACCGGCCCAACACAGGCAGATGAGCTAGCAAAGGTTCTATCGCAAATCAAAATGGCTCTCCAAGGCACTCCCGGTATGTTTTGCTCTTAACGCTTCCCCGCACACATAAACTAACATCTAATGTCCCCAGAAGCCGAACCCTCCCCCGAACAAATCTACCAATTGATCACCGGTATGATCGAAGAAGATGTCCTCTACCTCCTCGCCGCCAACCTCCACCGTCTCCCCTTCGAATCTCGAAAAGACACCCAAGTCATCTTCTCCTACATCTTCCGGTTCCGCACCCCCGCCGGCGTTCAGAAACCCGAACCCTTGGCCCTGGCCTGGGTGGTAGAAAAGAGACCGCAAGTACTGGTCGAGCTATGCAAGTCGTACGATCACAAGGAGAGCGCTACGCCGGCTGGGACAATACTGCGCGAGGTTCTCAAGAATGAGGCCGCCGCTGCGGTGATACTGTACGACGACGGCGACGAGATGGGGTCCAGCTCGAGGGGCTTGGGCGCTATCAACCCCGAAAGGCCACAAACTGGCAACGGGGTTTTCTGGAAGTTTTTTGAGTGGATAGATAAGAGCTCTTTTGAGGTGGCGGCGGATGCTTTTACCACGTTTAGAGTGTGTCCCCTTTTACCCCTTTATTTTCTGTCTCCCTTTACTAATTCCCCCTACCAAAAAGGAACTCCTCACGAAACACAAAGAACTCGTCCCAAAATACCTCGCCGTCAACTTTGACCTCTTCTTCTCTCGGTACAACTCGGTCCTGGTTCAATCCAACAGCTACGTCACCAAGCGGCAGTCGATCAAACTGCTCGGCGAGATATTGCTCGACCGATCAAACTACAACGTCATGACCGCCTACGTCGACAGGGGGGAGCACCTGAAGATCTGCATGAACTTGCTCAGAGACGACCGGAAAATGGTGCAGTATGAGGGGTTCCACGTTTTCAAAGTCTTTGTGGCGAACCCGCACAAGAGCGTGCCGGTGCAGAAGATATTGCTGATGAACAGGGAGAAGTTGCTGCACTTTTTGAGTCATTTTCTAGAGGACAGGACGGACGATGAGCAGTTTATTGACGAGAGGGAGTTTTTGATCAAGCAGATTAGGAACATGCCGAGTCAGCCTGTTCAGCCGCAACATCGGTAGGGCCGAGGTGGTGGTGGTGAGGAGGGGCGGCAGCACTATCAGCAGCAGTATCGGGAGTATCAGGAGCAGCGGGGGAGGTGTCTGCAGCAGCAGTGTGAGCAGCAGGAGAGGCGCCAGCAGCAGCAGCAGCAGCAGAGGCGGGTTTAAAGGTGCCTAGGTTGGTTGGGATTGTTTGGGATGGATGGATTGACATTGGTGGAAATCAAATTGGGTTGTTGTTGTTTGGTTGGTATTGTTTGTGTATTGATGGATCGATGGGCCCCGGTTAGGGTGGGCTGGTTGTTCGGTTGGGTTGGGTTTTTAGGTGTTGGGTTTTTGCATCATGTGAGAAAATGGGAGGAGTTTTTTTTAGAGAGTGTGTGAAAGAGAAATAAACGGTAATGTAATTACCTCGAGAGTAAGGGAGAAAAAGAGATAAAGTACTACTGGGACAGACAGATACAACAATCATTGTGGTCTTACTGTGGGGGGGAGGTTTGGAGAAAAGGGCAGCTTGTGTAGTTTGCATTGTCAGATGAGAGGAGACGATGGGGCCTGGTACCTGGTAGAGATACTGTAGATAGTTTTCAACTATAATGTTCCCAATATGACCACTGAAAGGACGTGGGTGCCACACTCTCCATATTATCAGAGACCTACCAGCCATGTCACTGCTCAGTAGAAGAAAACGAAAGTTTTATGAACAACAATGCTCTTCTCAGCAATATAAGTACACTAAAAATTGGAAGTCAATACTTCAGACTAGTCTCGCTCTTCTCCGAACCCCCAGTGTCATCCTCAGTTATGACCCTGCATCTCAAACACATGTCCTTGTCCCAAATCTAATACTAGAAAGCAAAGATTCGCCTTGAAGACCATTTCCCAAACGCAAGGTCGATGTCCGCTAGTAATTTGCCTCAGTACCGCCTCTTCAACAAAACTCCCGGTCCGAAGCAAATAGGTCCCTCTTCTCGATGAGAAACCGGAGAACCAGTCGAACCAAACCCAACGCCGAACAAGATGCCATGATACCTCACCCATCTTCATTGCCGAATTATGCCCCCCCCCAAGGCAAAAAGCTAAAAAAACATCGCGATATCCTCGTAGACCACCCCTCCAGCCCTGCCACTCACTCCGAGTGCGGCTCAGTAAAATCCCCCACAACCAATCCTGAGAAGGCCACTCGGGCCCCTTATCCTTCCTCGTCTCCCCACTAAGCTCACACGGCTCACCACCAGGGACACAAATCATCGCATCCTCAAACGCCATCACCCCAGCCTTCGTCGTATAAAAACTGAACGGCTCCCACCTGGGCCTTGTGTTCCACCACATTGGAGAAAATATTCTTGATCCGACAGGCAAGATAAAGAGTGCGAACCTCAGCAGAGAAACTCGACTGCGATGAAACCTTGCGATGCTTGGAAGCGGCATCCACAGAGGACGCCTTGCGCTTGTGAGTGAGTGCAGCCTCGTCGTCGTCGTCGTCATCGTCACCAGTACTGGCAACCTCCTTGCCCCTGGAAAGAGAAATCTCATTCTCGTCATCTTCGCCATCCTCCAGGTGCATGATATCAGAGAGAACAAGACCCTCCCGCTCAATCCGCTCCTGCTTAAGGACGTACTGCCGGATCTTCTTCTCCGTCAAGGCAAATCTCATCACACCGCTCCACCGGTTCAGTTCAAGAGAGCCAACGAGCATGTCTTCCCCGCCGTCGGTGGCAAGCTTGATGGTCAGACTGCCTGGGTGAATCTTAACCCCCACGACAACGTAGTTGACACTGTACTCGCCTATCAGAGAAGAGAGGAGTGGATTACTGGTGGTTGTCGTAAAGGGGAACTAGGCACAAGCCCTTTGGGTGATGAAGCCGGGGACCTCTCGTTAGCTGACGAAGCCGGGGACCGCGTGTTGGGTGATGAAGCCGAGCGCCTGGCAGCAGTCTTTCTGGCAACGGTAAAGTGCGCAAGCCGCTTTTTGGGGTTTTTCTCGACGGTCCCGTTGACTTGGCTGATACCTCTTTTCCTGAAAACGGTATGCATTGAAGGTAGCTGGGGCGGAGCGCGGGATGGAGAGGGCGATGAAGAGTGGTACGGAGAAGGGGAGGGTTCGTGATCCTCGTCTTGGTCCGAATCATTCTCATCTTGCTCAATGAATTTAGCCAAAGGAATTTCGGCATCCTCTTTAGTATTCTTTTGGCTGTCGATGGCATCATCACCGGCTTCACTTCCCTTAGCCTGAGTGTTCGTGGCCACCTCAACAGCCCCCAGAAACCCAGAACTATTCTTCTTGGGGCGCCCACGGCCCCTTTTCTTGACACCTTCAGTAGCAATAGCCGTAAGGGTAGAGCTAGTGTCAGTCTCAGAGTGTTTGAAAGGTTGCAAACGGCTGACTGTGCCCTGGGCACTCTTGACGGGGGTGTCGGATTTTCTGGGACGCCCTCGGCCACGCTTGATAGACATATGCTCAACTTCGTCAAACAACTGCTCGTTCGAGTCAACCTCTTCTGTCTCCACGGTCTGGGTCTTCTTGGGACGGCCGCGACCGCGACTAGTGGTGCTATATGGCTTTCCATCAGGGAATCCAGTGGAGAGACCAAGAAGCTCGGCGCGCAATTCATCTTTGGCCGTAGTTATCGTGGCTGCCGTGACTGGGACCTTCTGGGATTTGCCACTCGCAACTTCCTCAGGAGAAGCCTCTGTCACTGGCTTCTTGGGGCGACCACGTGGCCGGGGAGCTGTTGCGGGTTGCTTGAACGGTGTGGTTTCCTCGGGCTCATCATCGTTGTCAAGCTGAGCCTCTTGCTGCAATTTGGCAGCTTCTCGGGCTTGCTTGGACCAATGGTGTACCTTCTTCTTCGGGCGGCCACGGGAACGAGGCGTGGGAACAGATTCCTGGGGTTCGGCAAGTTCTTGTTCAGACTCAGGAGCTTCTTCCTCAAGATCAACAGGGTCGGCTTTCTCTTTGGGCCTGCCACGGCCGCGAGGTGTTACACTGGGTGTAAAGTTAGCTGCAGTGTGGTTTTCACCCACAGCTATGACCTTTTTGGGACGGCCACGAGGTCGCGGAGTAGGTTGTCCCACGTCCTCATTGCTGGCGGTCGCGGTACTAGAGCGACTAGGGGTGCGTGCCTATGAAAGGTATGAACTATTGTGTTACTCCTCAGGAGTGTGAGGATACTTACCATTGTGGATACCCAGCTTAGAGTCGCAATTGTCGATATTGGTCCTGAAATCCTTGGTTGTCGGCCTTCTGCAGAGAATTGTAGACTGGCGAGTGTTACGTTGTGGGAGTGAGTGAGTGAGTGAGTGAGTGAGTGTGGGAGTGTGGGAGTGTGGGAGTGTGGAAGTCGTGTGAGAGTGTTGGGGGGTGGTGAAGGGAGAGAGAGTGGGGGTGAGTGAAAAGAAATCGAGTACAAAGACTGGGTCTTGTATGGATGCGTGAGAGCAGAGCATTTGATCCAAGTAGGTCGACATTGCCGTCGCGAGTTTATTCACTTGGCCGAGGCAAGAGCTCCAAACCCATAAGGCAAGTACAATGGGCTCCCAACGCAGGTAGGTGAATCCACAAACGACCTTAAGCATGCTCCCATTTTTTGACAACCAAATTCGCTGAACTGAGTATCTGAATTCAACAGATCTAAGTTTATTGTGAAAAAGTGACCAGTAAACCACCGGCCGTCAACATTCCTCCTCACGACGAGCCGGGCCTGCGCCCTAAGCTCCAACATCGCAAACTCGACATCACCAACATACCATCCATGCACTATGCCTGATAAATATCAGTGTGGCACTCTGTCAATCACCGGTAAGAGTCACCGGCAAGAGTCATGGCCGCCCAGTCCCATACGATAAGGTTGAAAATGAGCAATAGATCATGCTAAAGGTTACAGGGCTGGCGTCCGGCGGTCTCGTTGTGGAAAGTATGTTATATCCTACCAGGCATCTTCGATGTTTCACGTGCTGTAAGCATCACCCTCAAGTAAAGACACCCTCCCTGTGTCAGTCACAGAACAAAGCCATACTCATCATAGGAGACACCTTTCTCACCTGTTGAATGCACGTTCGATTTGCGTGGGAGGATAAGGTGTGTTCGGGATATGACGGTGGAGAAGATGGATTTCTAGAGGTATTTCCGCAGGGAAGGGGAAGTGTTTCAACAAGTGGAAGTGGAAAGAAGGTGGGAGAGACGGAGTATTAGCGTCTGTTACGGCTGTTGAGAACTGTTTTCATGATGCAGATGAACACGTTCTGGACAAAAGATCTGGTGGCGCAAGTCAGCAAATATAACTCTCAACTTACATCTTTTAAATAGAATATGGGCCTTTCAGCTGTCCCTTCCAACGAATCTATTATTTTTTGACACCTATTTGATCATCTTTAACATATCCTGACTATTTTTTGAGCATGGCTCAGGATAATGTACGCTTATAGACCATCTTGAGATGTGTTGTTGAGAGCGGGTCTTCTGTTGGTGGAGATTCTCCGCAGTTTTAGCCTATCGCATTCTTAACAAGATAAAGTTCAAATCGCCGAAAAAAAGCATGGCTCTGTTAGAGCAAGATAAAGCAAGTCATCTATGGAACTCTAGCGAAATGCCCCTCACCTAACCCATCCCATGAATGACATCTGAAAGGCATTCACTTCATCCAAGATCTCACAAACCAATCCCATATTCGATTATTTGTATAACCAACCAAAATACCAATCGCATAATGAGCGAGACTGCCGAAATGAAAGTAGACCCAACCAGAGCCAGCGCCCTCATCTCGCAATTACAGGGCGTCAAAGATAAAATCGCCGCCGTTGCCAAGGGGCGTCCTGTGAGTCTTTGTCTTTTCACCTTCAAATCTCACATTACAAATATCTAACACCAACCCCCAGGTACGACTCGTAGCAGTCTCCAAACTCAAACCCGCAAACGACATCCTCGCCCTCCATGAAGCCCCTGAGACAAAACACCTCCACTTTGGGGAGAACTACTCGCAAGAACTGACCCAAAAAGCCGAGCTCCTCCCCAGGACGATTCAATGGCACTTCATCGGCGGTCTTCAATCAAAACACACCAAAAACCTCGCCAAAATTCCCAACCTTTTTTGCATCTCCAGCATCGACACCCTCAAAAAGGCTGAGCTCCTTGACAAGTACCGCGGTGATCAAATTGCTGCAGCGACCAACCCGGATATTTTCGGCAAGATCAAAGTTCATGTGCAGGTCAACACTTCGGGGGAAGAGTCCAAGTCGGGATGTGCACCAGGGCAGGAGACAGTGAAGCTGTGCAAGAAGATCGAGAATGAGTGCCCTAATTTGGAGTTGTTGGGGTTGATGACTATTGGGGCAATTGCACGGAGTAGGGAGACGACACCGGAGAATGAGAATGAGGATTTTCAGGTGTTGAGGGAGCAGAGGGATTTGGTGAGGAAGGAGCTTGGGTTGGGGGAAGAGAGACTGCTGGAGTTGAGTATGGGGATGAGTGAGGACTTTGAGGGGGCGATTGCGATGGGGAGTGATGAGGTGAGGGTGGGGAGTACGATTTTTGGGGCGAGGGGGCCGAAGAGTGAGGCTGTTGTTGTTGTTGCTTAGGGGGAAGGTGTATGAGATGGGATGATATAGCGAGTACATACTTACACCAACATGGGATGAGTGTTGCGGCCATTATTGGATGGTGAAGTTCACACGTTAGGACTCAGGGGTACAGCTTGGATGGGATGATTCTTCTGTATTGAGGCAACGGAAGACCGGCAGCGTCGAAAAGAGCAGGAGGCCGGCCATGTTGCAAAAAGGGGAAGCTTTCCCGAGCTCAGTGAGCATATTCATCAGAGGAACATGATAACGTGGGAAGCTGCGTGGCTGCATGGCGTTCAGGGGTTGCACCCAGCAAGACATCCCTCTCGTCCTCGAAGAGGCCTGCGCATGACAGATGGTGATGATAGTGTAGATACCAAGCACCCAAGCAGGTATGCTTTGACCCTCGCCACCAGAAGACCTACCTGCCTAGTAGCGGTGCCTGCATCTCGTGGTATCATAATCCGACTGATGCCGCGGCGCGAAGTGATGTTGGAGATGACTTCTACCGGGTAAAATAATTTGATGAACCCCGAGCGCATGGCTTGGCATCCTGGTACCAGACTTTAAAGTCGCACTCGTAGCATTTTAGACGAAGATGTAGCCCCGTTGGGCTCAACAGTCTCTTCTCAGTCCTTTTTTCGACTGAAGCCCACATGCTGTGGTTGTAGTCCACGCTTCTTAGGTTGTAGTTCCCGATATCATCGACGAGCGGCTGTTACGACGTAAAGGATGCTATTTTTGTCTTGAGTTTTATGCGAACCTATGATACCATCATGCTTCTCATCGTTTTTGGAAGATGTATAAAGCAGACGGATTGTGGTTTTGGATTGATTAATTCTTGGTCTCAGCAGCAGCATCATCTTCTCAGTCTTGCAATCACCTACCCTCTACCAGTCATCATGAAGTTCACCACCGGTCTTGCTCTTCTGAGCGCTCTTGCCACCTCCACGGCTCAGATCCTCGTCCCTCCAGGACCCGTCAAGGGCCCCAATACTTTTGTCTTCAAGCAGATTGGCGGCATCCCCAACAATGAGTGCTTGACCTTCACCAACAGCGTATGCTCTTCCCATGAACCTACTTTGAAAACCAGCACACTGACAAGTCTATGCAACAGGGCGAGATCGTCCAAGCCGCCTGTGCCTGGACACACGCCGACAGACAAGTCACCCCCGGCAAGATCTTGGGGACCGACGTCCTCATTGTCCAGCGGGGCTTTGCTGCCCCCTTTCGTGGTGACCTTGTCGGCAAGACAGCCTGCGTTGCCTTCAACGAGACCACCTTCCGCGCCGAGGACTGCTCGAGGAACGACCTGCTGTTTGTCAGATTCGATGTTGGCAACGGCCGGATTCAGGCCAATGGCGCGCCCGTTTGCTTGAGCGGGTATGATAGCAAGGCTTTCGTCAAAATTGATATCGGCCTCCAGAGGTGCTCGCAGTTCACCGTCACTGCTGTTGCGCCTACCAGGCCATAAAAGGGGCACACGCACTGGGAGGAGGAGGAGGAGAGTCTTCATGATGTTGTAATTAGCGTAATCTTGGGGTTGGGAGAGGACTTGAGATAGATTCATTTTGAGATGGAGCCTTGATACAACGGCCAGGGGTAGAGCTTGTATGACATCAACAGAATAATTATCGCGTGAAATATTTATAAGAACCAAGTTGGCAGAGACCCAATGTTGCCTTGTGGAGGGGTTGCTCGAGTTATCGAGTCGCACACACACCGTATTTTCGACCCCACTCTCATGCTTGGGATGCAACGGGAACACACGCATATTATATGTATGCTGAAGTGTAGCTGCAGTAGTTTGTTGAACTGATGCCAGGTACTCGAGATCCCCCCATTCGACCTCTGCACTAAAAGATGGAGACCGTCTCCCGGAAATTCATTCAAGACAGTGCTGCTGCACCATGACGGCACATCACCGACGATGGGAAACAAAACAACAGGGTTCAAGCTTTGGTCACAGGCTCTGGCGGTTATCGATAACGGCTAGGAGGCAGCTGGTCAGTGCTTCCTGCAGCTGGTAGCAAGGATAGCCCCCGGTCGCGGCTAACACGTTGCCGGGGGAACCCACTCAAATCAACAACAGGAAAGGGCTATTGGTCGCAATTGGTGGGCACGGCGCCAGCTCAGGCGCCCATGTCGCTCCATGCCCGCTCCATGTTGACGGCCCCTCCTCTTGGACTGCACAATTGACAGGCCTTAACAAGACCTTGTTATACCCACTCGGAAGAGGAGCACCATTTCCAGCCTTCTGCTTGCTTCACACCTTTACCTTTTTCACGATACCCATTTTTGTTGTCGTGCTTTGGCCGGCGTCTGGTACCCCCTCGTCGACGAAGTTTTATGCAAAGCGACTTCTGTTTGCCATTTGCCATTCGTTGCTCGACTGTTTGCTTGTATCGAGTCACGTCGCATTCCACTCCAACCTACCCTCACCAGAGCATTCCAGTAGCGCTCGCCCTTAACCTACCCACGATACCCACGATACCCTCGATACCCACATATAATCAACACAATCAACGCAATGGCGCCCGTCGAGAGGGACACTCCGCGCGACCTAAGACACCAACATTCCGCCTCTCTTTCGGATCACGGCCGAGCCTTGGTTCCCATGTATGTTACTTACTCACCACACTCACACATCATCCATCTTCTTTTGCCTCACATCCCACTTCTGGCAATCCACAATGACCATGCTATGATATCCTCTCCCACAATGCCATGTCGCATCTTTGGCAATCGCTAATGAAGAACAGGTGGGACAGCTCTGACCCCGAGAGGGCTCCTCCCCCACTTCCTCTCAACCCCCAGTCCCCCATCGTGTCGAGGACAGGAACTAGTAGTGCCATCCAGTCCGCCCATGCTGCCCTGGCTGAGAAGGCCCGGGAGAATGCCGCACTGGTGCCCCACGTACCCAAGCATCAGCGCCTCGAAGTCTCACCAGAACGCCCATTGCCCATCCCAGGCATGGCTCCCGCACCCCTAGGCGCCAACACCCACCGCCGAATGAACTCTCTCCAGCCCACCTCGGTCAAGGATATGAGCATGATGATCGAGGCCGGCAGTTCCCCGGCGAGAGAACTTCCCGTACCAAGGTCCCCCGAGAAGAACACCCGGCCCGTTACCCCTTCGAGAAACGCAAGGAACTCCTGGATAGAACCCAAGGACGAGAAGGACTACTTCGGCCACAGCGGCGATGACAGGTCAACATTGAAACCGGGTCCTAGTTTGACACCCATCATCCGCCCGACTGCCCGCCGGGCTACTCACCAGAGTATTCTGGGAGAAAACACACCCCCTCCGTCAGCTACCATGCTCGCGCTGCAGAATATGAGCACCCAGTCTAACACTCACCTTCCTAGCACCAACACCAATCTCTACAGCTCCCCGATGGGTCCCAAACCCCCCCCTCCCAGCATGGAGCCCGAGAAACCGCAACCGCCTCCGCCCCAACCGCAGGCGCACTCACAACCCTTAGGAGATATCACCAACAATTCGCATGCCATGGTCCAGGTAGCCAAGGTACCGGAGTCCCTGGATCTTCTTTCTAACCAGATTCTTACCCTCACCGATATTGCGACAACGCTCCAAAAGGAAATGTCTCTTCTCAGTCGACGTTCCCGTGACAATGCCACCGATCTTCTCAGCCTCAAGGAAGCGACCAATGCCCGCGACGAGGATATCCGCAAGAGTCTCCGAGACCTCATTACCGAGAGCAAAGCCAGAGCGGCCAACCGCGACCTCTATGGTGGTCCCCTGTTACTGGAAGGTCGTCATCACACCACCTCTCCCACTCAACTCAGTAAATCCGTCCGGCCATTTTCTCTTCCGCGTATTCCGTCCCCTAACAGCTTTGCAGCTTCCTTTGATCGCGAATCCATGTTGAGCACCCCATCCCTGGTCGGTTCGGAAACTGGAACAAACTCGACGACTGTCACCCTGGTAGAGAAGATCATACGGGATATGGCTACCAAGGAGGGACAGGAGAATCTGGGCCACAAACTCTCGGACCTTGCCGGTAAACTCTCTGGAATGGCCACTGCTGACAAAATCGAGGAACTTGCCAGGTTTATCAAGGAGAATCAACAACAGGCTGTCATTGCTGCCGCTGCGGGCGGTGCTGGTGGCGGCGGCGGCGGGAACAAGAATCGCAGCTGGGATGTTGGGGAAGATGACGACGATGATAGCCCTAGTAACTCGAGCCGACTTTTGCAGGGCGGTGGAGACGTGAATGAGGAGGTTTACAAGGCTATCAAAACGGTCAAAGATAGCTTGGCCAACGCTGGCGGGCTTACTGCCGAGGTCAAGGCGTTGGTTGTCAAGCTCCGGGGCGAGGTGCTACATATGGGACGCGACCTCGGGCAGAAGTTTGAAGAATTGCTCGCTGAGGGCGTGCCTAGCAACGGTGGGGGAGACGGCAACAAGGCGGACATGCAGCGCATTATCGAGCAAGGCCTGGCCCAAATGTCGGAGCAGATGAATAAGATCCTCAGGGATTACCGGTATACCGGCGGTAGTGGAGGTGATGTTTCGACAGAGGCCCATGCGCTGACCGGTCCGCGCGAGGCTCATCAGTTTGACTCGCAGGAGCTCTACAACGCTATGCGCGCCGCCCTCAAGGATACCCACCCAAGGACTCCCGACTTGAGGAGAGAGGACGTCATGCAGGCTGTTAAGGATGCTTGGGAGAAGTACAAGCCCGAGATCGAGATTCAGCAAATTGGGCTGGAGAGGGAGGAGGTTCTCGAGTGTCTGGCGCAGGGCTTGGCTGACTTCAAGCGACCGATGGGCGCGACAAGGGACGAGGTCTTCTCTGCTGTGGCGGAGGGATTGAGAAACTATCAGCCACCCAAGGTCGAGATGTTGCGGAAGCAGGACATTCTCGAGGTAGTTACGGAGTGCCTTGGAGAATGGGAGGTTCCACAGCCACCCAAGACTGGTGACGAGGTCACGCGGGAGGATGTGCTTGATGCCGTTAGAGAAGGACTTCTTGCTATGCCGCCACCGCCTGAACCAAAGGGGGCTAGCAGGGACGATGTTATCGATGCTGTCGCCGATGCCTTGGACGCCTTTGATTTCAGCAAAACAGTTTCTGAGGCGCTTATCACACAGCCGGTCACAAAGGGAGATGTAGCTGAGGCCGTGAGCCAGGCTTTGAAGGGACTGGATTTGTCTGATGACATGTTGGATGCTGTACAGGAAGGTCTGAGGGGACAGGAGGAAAAGGTACGACAGGCGGTTGAGCAAGGACTCAAGGGCTTTGATATTGAGGCTTTGGCGGCCATGATTCCCCGACCGGACTTGTCGCGCGTTGATGTTGCGGACGCAGTCAAGGAAGGACTTGAATTCCTCGACCTGAGCAGAGACGATGTTGCCGATGCCGTCAAGGATGGCTTGGAAAAGATGGACTTGACCAACACGCTCTCCAAGTCTGTGGCAGAGGCCGTCAAGAAAGTGCTGGAGGACCACAACTTTGGCAGCTCTTCTCATTCGGCCAACAATGAGAGGGCGCTGGTGCCCAGAAGCGCTAGTATGGGCTCTCATATTCCTATGCCATCGCCCCCATCTTTTTCTGGTTCCGAGATCCCGATGAATGCCTCTCCTGGCTCATCAGTTTCGAAATCCGACATTGAAGAGGCCGTCAAGTCCGCCCTCGACTCGCTCGACTTTTCGCTTGATGTGTCAGATGCTGTCAAGACTACACTCGATGGCTTTGACTTTGCGGCCGCCGCTGGTTCCAGCTCAGGTGCAACCAAGTCTGACTTGTCCAAGGCTGATGTTGTCGACGCTGTCAAGGAAGGTATTCGGGCTTTGGATCTTTCCACTGAGATCGCGGCCGATGTGATTGATATCGTCAAAAAGGAGCTTGAGCAAGGAGATTCAGCCAAGAGCCAAGACCCCGAGGCTATGGTCGCGGCTGTTAAGCGTGGCCTTCAAGAGGTTGATCTGACGACTGAGATTGCTGCCGACTTGATCGAGTCTGTTCGTAAGGAGTTTCAGACTCTGTCATCTGGGTCCGCAGTTATTTCTGCCAATGCCACTAGCCCAGCTGCTAGTAATGAAGAGGTTCTCGCCAAGTTGCAGGAGATTAGGGACGCCGTGGTTGCCGAGTTCAAGGCTGCTACTGAAGAGTCCAAGAAGAGCACCGTTGACAGTGACGGTCTTGAGAAGCTCAGGTCCGAGATTGAATCTTATGTTGACCGCGTCAAGGGCGAATCATCATCTTCCGAGGACAAGGAAGAGTTCATGCAGGACTTGCTCAAAACTCTTGATGGCTTCCGTGACGAGGTTGGCGAGCTGGTGCTCAAGTCGACTGACAGTTCCAAGACCATGCTCAAGGAGGAGCTCGAGTCTCTCCGGGAGGTTGTCAACTCCAGTATGGTGCCTGTCACCCCACAGGCCGGCATGTACACCCAGGAAGTTCTCATGGCTATTCAGGAGGGGCTTTCAAGCCTGAGGGCTGAGGTTTCTTCACGGCCGATTGCCGGGCTGACTGAGATTCTCGACGCGCTTCAGGAAGGCCTGGGCGATATCCGAGTCAGCATTAACAACCTCCGCGACAAGCCTGCCGACCTCACCGCCAATGACGAAATTCTGGAAGCTCTGAAAGCTGGCCTCGATAGCGTTAGAGCCGATATCGATGACATGAGGAAGAGCACCAGCAACGAGCTAGCTTTGGTGAAGAAGGCCCAGGACAACGACGAGGAGGAGATCAAGGCCAGAGCTATCATCCCTGTTGAGAAAACCGTCCAGAAGGATGATATCAAAAATCTTGAGACCTTGCTTACCCAGCTGGGCAAAAAGGTTGAGGTAATGCAGGCTACCTCTGTTCCTGATCCCGATGCCATGTCCAAGGAAGACGCCCGCCGCATGGAGGATACGATCCGCCAGGTACAGGAGTCAGTTGCCAAGTTGCCGAGTCAAGTCCCACTTGCTTCGATGGAGGATGCACTCAAGAAGATCCAGGCGACGGTGATTGAGATGTCAACCCGCGATCCGCCCGCCCGCAAGCCAAGGGAACCAAGAGTACCGAGCGAGAATGATGAGCCCGCCCTTAGGGAGGATGTTGAGGCCATCGAGACCATTCTTCGCAATACCAAGGCTCGTCTGGACGATCTCATTGACGGCGAGCAGGGCGTGCGCAAGGATCATATTGATGCTTTGGAGGCACTCATTCTGGAGACCAGAGAATCCCTTGCCGGCCTGGTCAGTCATGTTGACACCCTATCCAAGAAGGATAACATCGACGCGTTGGAGACGCTCATCCTCGAGACTAGAGAGAGCGTGGGTGGCGTGGCTAGCCAGTTGGAGATGGTTTCTCAGAAGGAAGATATTCTCAAGGTCGAGTCACTGGTCAACCAGGTCGTTGCTGCTTTTGACGAGATGAAAGAGCGCCATGAGAAGGCTCTGGACGACCCCGAGCGAATCACCAAGACCGACGTCGAGGCTGTCGAGGCGGTTTGTCTTGATACCAAGGTGCTCATTGAGAACATCATGAAGGTTGATTTGGCTTCGCTGCCGACAAAGGAGAACATGGACAACCTCGAGCTTCAGCTTGGGGAGCTGAAGGAGTGCATGGATTTCCATGCTCTGGATGCCCAGAAAGCAACGGAGGATAGGCAGGCGGAGATTGTCGGTGTCGGTGAGCGGGTTGGGGAGGTCAAGGCTATTTTGGAGGACTTCCATGGCGTGTTGAGGGGCAAGCTGGAGGAGGGGGCAAAGGGGGTGGACTCGATTCATCTTTTGCTTGATGGCTTCAGCACTACTATCAAGGAGGCTATTACCAAGAACGACACTGTTGGCGACGACTTGAAGGTTATACTTGATGCTCTCAAGACTGATGTCGAGGAGTCCAAGGCTAGTTTTTCGACTGCCAACTTGGAGACCAACGAGAAGGTTCAAGCCGCCAGCGACGCTGTCATTGCCAAATTGGATGAGCGGATTGCTGATCTGATGGGCAAGTGTGGCGAGTTCCAGCTTCTTCATGAGGAACGGGCTGCCAAGGGTGAGGAGCGAGATGCCAACATGGAGGCGGCAGTTGTTGGCAACAAGGCTATTGCTGAGGAGCTCAAACAGCTGGTTGATACTCTTGGGTCTGCTGTCACCGACTCGATGGAGAGGATGGAGGAGGCTTCCAAGACTGTGTTTGAGCGGGTTGAGGCGCTTGTTACCAAGTCTGATGAAGGCCAGCTTGAGGCCAAGACTGAACATTCCCTCACTCGTGAGACAGTTCAAGAGGCCATCACCAAGGTCGGCAGTGTCAATGATCAGGTTGCCGAGTACCAGCCCAAGATTCTTCAGACCCTTGAAGACTTCGTCTCGACGGTTGGTCAGCATTATGAGCAGCTCCACACCAAGGCCCAGGCTATCCAGGAGCGCGTTGAGATTCCTGTCGAAAAGTACAATGACACTGCTGTCAATGAGAAGCTTGATGTTCTTGTCGGCCATACTGAGGTTGCCGACAAGGCGTTCGGGCGGCTGGACACTCTTGACGAGGTTCACTCTCAGGTCAAGGCCACTGCTGCTGAGCTCGCCATCTTCATTGCTGCTCAGACTCAACGCATCGCCGATGAGCATGAGGACAAGGAGAAGACACTTCAGGAGACCATCGTTGCCTTGGAGCGCAGGCTTGAGGAGAAGCAGCAGGTTGAGGCTCAGATTTCCGATCTTCGCGAGGAACAGGAGCGCCTCAAGCAGTATATCTCTGTCACTCTTCCTCAAGAGCAGGAGCAGATTACCATTGCCTTCATGTCCAACCTTCAGAGCGAAGAGGCCCGACTCAAGGAGACGATTACGTCCCTCAAGGAGGAGCAAGAGCTCCTGAAGGAGACTTTCTTGTCTAATCTGAAGGAGGAGCAAACCCGGATCACGGAAGCCAACGTCGCCCTTAACGCTGAACAAGACCAGCTCAAGGAGTCTTTTATCGCCAACCTCAAGGAAGAGCAAGCACGCATCATGGAGACCAATGTTGCCTTGAAGGAGGAGCAGGATAAGCTCAAGGAGACTTTCTTGGCCAACCTTCGTGAAGAGGAGGGCAGGCTTAAGGAGTTGAACGATGCCCTCCGGGAAGAGCAGCAGAACATCCGTGACACCTATCTCGCCAATCTCAGAGAGGAAGAGTCGCTTCTCAAGGAGATCAATGCCGGCCTTCGCGCTGACCAGGAGGCTCTCCGTGAGAGCTTCATCAAGAGCTTCCAGGAGGAAGAGCTCAGACTTCGCGAGGTCAATGAGCAGCTCCGCGCCGATAACGACAAGCTCCAGGTCACCCTTAAGGAGGAGAATGATTTGCTCAAGGCTGCTCTGAAGGAAGAGTATGAGCAGGCCAAGGCCCAACTCAAGGAGGAGCATGAACAACTCAAGGCCCAGCTGAAGGCTGAGCAAGAGGCTCTCAAGGCCACCTTTAAGGCTGAGCAAGAAGAGCTTCGTGCTTCCATGAAGGAGGACAATGACCGTCTCAAGATTGAGTTGCTCTCCAACCTCATGGAAGAAGAGACCAGAGTCAAGGAAGCCAATGCTGCCCTCCGCGTTGAGCACGACAATCTCAAGACTGCCTTCTTGGCCGAGCTCAAGGAGGAAGAGGAGCGTATCAAGACCAGCCTGGCTGATTTGCGCCTTGACCAAGAGGATCTCAACTCGCGCAAGAACAACCTCTGCTCTGAGCTGTCTACTCTCGAGGCTGCCTGCAAGTTCCGCCGTGAGGAGGTTGAAGATCTTACCACCCAGTCCGAGCACATGGAGCGCAAGGTGCTGGAGGGTGTCATGGATCTTTCCAAGGTGTTGCTTATGAAGAAGACTGCCAGCGGCCTGCCCGAGAAGAAGGGTCCCGGTGGCGGCAACAGGGAGTTTTCGTCTACGTTGAGCAGAAAGAGGGTTGTTAGTGGACAGCAACCGCTTGATACTGCCGGTCCGAACAAGGCTAGGGGGACCTCGGCTGCGATCAGTATCGCGCTTGCTCAGTCTGGTCTCAGTCCTGAGGCTAAGAGGAACTTTAGCTTGACGCAGATCAGCAATAACATCCCTGCCGGCGGCATCAAGAGAAGCCAGAGCGTTAGGAACCCTGCTGGCGGTGCTGCGAACAGGGGCCTTAGGAAGGAGAGCTGGACTCCGATGGCGGCTACGCCTAAGAGCAGGGCTGCGAGTGGGAACAAGGCTGGGAAGGGGTATGGGGATTTGATGGGGGATCGAGAGGTGGAGGGGGAGGATAAGGAGAATGTCCCGGTTGTCAAGGAGGATGAGGAGGAGCAGGTTGAGATTCCTCAAGAGACTGAGGAGATCAGGGTTGATGAGATTCGGGTTGATGAATCGGAGGATGAGGCTGAGTCGGTGGCTGGTGATGAGGCTACTCCTGTTGAGGGGGCTGCTGCTCCTGCTGTTGAGGAGGAGGAGAGCAGTGAGTCTGAGGATGATAACGACGAGGAAGAGGTTGAGCAAAAGGATGGGACTGCTCTTGCCGCTGCCAAGGCCGCTGCTTCTTCCCGTGCTTCTTCGCCCGAGCTGGAGGAGGCGTCTTCTTCGTCGGAGTCTGAATCCGAGGATGAGGAGGAGGTCATCGACCAGCCCAAGACTAAAGCCGCCACAACTGAAACCAAGACTGCTGACGACGCGGCCTCGGAGTTTACTGACGATGATATTGAGCATGTCGAAGCTGAGTCGGAGTCGGAGTCGGAGTCTGAGAATGAAAAGGAAGCTGAAGAGCCGACGTTGACTGGAGACACGTTGAGAAAGGTCAGCAGTGGCACGACGGTTGTTACTCCTGGTGGTGGTGATGACGAGTTCAGTAGTAGTGAGGAGTCGGATTTTGATGATGGGGCTAGTGACTGGACTAATCCGCCCGCTGCTTTGGGGACAGAGACGAATATTACTGCGCTGGAGAGCGAGGTTGGGACGCCGGTTGAGGAAAAGAGGAAGGGGGCTTGAGGGGTATGGAAGAAAGAGGGCGGGGGGAGGGGGGTTGTTTGAATGATATCAATTTTGTGAACGTTGGTTTAGCAGGCGGGCAAGGTGTGGGATTCATTTTTTCTTCTTTTCGTTGAGGGCTGTTTTTTATATTTTTTATTGGGAAACAAATCTGGGAGTTAGTGGAGGGGGGGCGGGGCTTGTTATGTATATTTTGCTTTGTGTTTCTTTTGTTTGTATTAATGATGGAAGAGTAGTAGCAATGAGAGATCGGAATGATGGGTTGTACATCATGTTTATGTTGTTTTTGGGGTGGCCTGTTGAGTAAATCTTGAGAAGGGGAAATTGAATCAGTATACGAATAAGGGTGAAGACTGTATGTGCGATGCGATAGTAGGCCCCCTTCGGGCATGGCACATATTGATTTATCGTTCAATATCGTGATCTTATCCTTTGCAGAATGAACAAGATCCAATATAATCAATCACCTTTTGCGCACTTTTTTCTTTCCCTCTGTGTTCATGATGCCTAAGGTCAACAACATATATGTTTGTCTGTCTGTATATGTTTGCGGTAAACTACTTGGTTTCTTACTCGACGGAGGCGATGGGGAAAAACAAGGGGCAAAAGGGGTTTGTTTGACCTAACGGTGTCACGTAGAGGATGAGGAAAGGATAGGGGCAAAAATACAAAAGTAAAGTCAACTTCGTTGATAGTTAAGATGTTTGAACTGCCCACAGCCAGAATCGAACTGACGACCTCATCATTACTAGTGATGCGCTCTACCACTGAGCCATGCGGGCTTATGTAATTGCTAGACGGCCAACTAGGCGGAGTGTGGGAACATCACGGTAGATAGCGAGGGACTCTTGGTAGGAGATAGGGGTGGTGAGGGTGTCGAGACAGGGTTTGAATCGAGAGTATTGTACGGGCTGTTGTGAGACATGAAGATAAATATGTGAACTATGTCTTTGGAAACTACAAAAAGTTGAACCAAAATCTCCGGCGATACCATAATCACTTTTTGACCCACACCTAGCCATCCATACGCCACACCTAACAGTTGACGATGTTCATAGATCAACCCATAGAACCCTCATCTTACACACCAGTCAACACCCGATACACGCAACCTACATCGGGCCAAACTGATTCAGCAAACTCCAAACGCTATCATTCCCAAAATCACCCTCAAACTGCTGCCAGTTCACCCCCGCTTGCTGTCCCTGACCTTGAACCCCCTGCTGCTGCTGCTGCTGCTGCTGCTGCTGCGGTGGCTGCTGGACTTGCTCCCTCCCCCCAACAACAGTAGTCAGCCCCCCCAGCCCAGGGACAGTAGTTCTCGTGTCCCAACTCAGGCCGTTCCCATTTGTATCCCCTACGCCGACTAAATCATTAAAGATCAAATCATGTGTGGGGTATATAGGTTGAAGGGAAGCCCAGTTAAAGTCACTTGGCAGCGTCCAGTCTACTTGCCCACCAGAGTAAAAGTTGCGGTCTGTTGTTGGTGTGACAGAGGTGCTGCTTCCCGGTTGGGAGAAATCCAAGGGCCCGAGGGGGACCTGAAGAGGGTTGGGGGAGATGGCGCTACCGGCGCCAGTGGAAGATGAGGAACGGGAGGCGCGGCGCGGGGTGTGGGTTTCCCAGTGGTGGCCGCCGCCACTGGAAGCAGCGGCGTTGGTGCCGGTGGAGGAAGAGGACTGGGACAAAGGGTTGGCTTTGGAGGTGACTGTTGTGGTGGTTGAAGGGCTGGTGCCGGATGAGGCCGATTGTGACTTGTTGGCGACGGAATCGAGAGAGCGTCGGAGGCGAAGACGGACAGCGTGGAGGACACCCAGGGCTGCTTTGGCGAGAGCGTTGCGCTCAGACATTGCCTCGAAGCGCTCGACTGCCCACTGGAAGTGTTGAAGGGCGGACTGGACGAGCTCTGGGTGTTCACGGGGGAAGAGAATGTAAATTGCTGCCATGAGGACGATGGCGTCAAAGGTGCCAAAGAAGAGGGCGAATCTGGGTTGGGTTAGAAATGGCAACAGGAGTCGGGGTAATAAGGGGTGACCTACGTCTTGTACAAAGCCGGCCTCAGCGCCATGAAGTGCAACCTCTGCGCATTCAACATCCCCAAACTCGCCTTGAGCGCCTCCGTCCGACTCTTTGGCCTGGTAAAAATATACGGCCTGTGCAACGCCATTAGCTCAAAAGACGACAGCTGCGGCAAAATAACCCTCGCCAACGGCAACCAGTAACAATCCTCCCTATCATCAAACCTCGTGTCCGGATTCTCCAACCTGAAAAAAGGCGGCGTCTTCTTCTCAATCGAAACAACTTCCTCATGAAGCTTATCCACCCTCGCAAAATCCCTCGGGCACGGCCCTTCCTTCTCCAGCTCCAGAATCTCCCTCATCGGCGCCATAAGATGATACGCCCACACCGCCCTCGTCAACGGCGTAGGCGGCTCATTCTCCCCCCGCTCCACAATCGGCATCAACTCCCCCGAAGGGCTGGCAACCGGCGAGTCCCCCTTCACATCAACCGGCAAGCTCGGCGGCACGGCCGTCAGGTTGATCGTCGTCGGCCGACCCAGCACGCCAGCCATGTGCACATCCCAAACCACAAGCGTCATCCATATCTTTCTCCGTCTCTGCACCTCCCACTGCACCTCCAACACCTCCTGCAACGTCGCCCCAGAAGGAGGCCTCGGATCCAAACTATCCCTGTGCAGCCCAATCTCCTGCGCATCTCTAATCGCACTCCCAATCGCATGCCAGCTTTCCGTCACCAAGCCGACATATTTGAGGAAACTCGCCCTGGCAAACCCAGCCAAGACTGTCGTGAGCGTCATTGATCTCTTGCCCAGCACTTGCAAAACTTGCAGCCCAGAGTCAGAGTAATCATTCGCCAAATCCTCAAAAGTCATATTCAACCCTGCATACAACAGCCCCTCGAACTCCCTGTCATCTGACGAAAGGGTCAAGAGAGCAATAGCAATAATATTGAACAGCAACCCCGGAAACGGCCTCAGTGATAGCGGGATTTGGGACGGCCCGCCTTGACTGAGGATGGAAAAGGGGAGGGTGTACCATTGCGCGAGCAAGCTGTCGAACAAAGTCCTGTCGAGGGCGTAATACTGCCAGTTGAACTCCCGAAAGTAAATGTCGACTAGCTTCTCGATGTGGACCCTCGCAGGGAGTTGCCGGATCAAGGATTTGTACTTCTCTCTTGTCAACCCGTCTGAGATGGAGGGTGTAGTTTGGTCAATCGAGGTATGTTGCCCGGGGGGGGGAGGCAGGTTTTCGTCGCCAGTGGTGGACTCTTCGATTTTACGGAGGAAACCGAGCGTGCCGGCGCCGGAGTAGCCAAAGGTTTCGGACGCGACTTTGGTGACGGGTTTACCTCCGTTGGTGGCGATGTGCTCGGAGAGATCGCTGCCGGTGTGGTGGGTTGTCGTTGATGAAGAGGACGTGATGGGGGATTTGCCCATGTCAGGGGAGGTGGCTGTGGTTGTTGAGCCGGAGCCTGAACCCGAGTTGGAGGCCCCTCCACCACCGTCTGCGCCATCGGCGGTGCCACTCGTAGGGACAATTAGCTGTTGGCGTCTCTGCTGTTGTCTTGCTGTCGGCGCACCGGTTTCGTAGTGGCATGCGCTATGTTTGTTTCGTGAGATGCAGTTCGTGCAAGGGAGCTGTCGGTCACACTGTCCATTCACTCATTAGCCTTTGTCCAACAGCGACATCAGAACTGAGACAAACCTTTTGCTTGCGCCTATGACATTCGGTACAAGAGATCACGATCCTCCTCCGTTTCCTCGGCGGTGGCCGGGCCGGCGCATTGTCTTCGGCGGCGGCGGTGTCATTGTTCAGTCCGGCATCAGGGTACTCGGACGAGGCACCGTTGGCGGCAGCAGGCCATGCTCCCGCATCGCCGGGACTCAAAGTGGACATCAGATCGACTCGGAGAGTGCGCTGCCGAATGGGATCCACCGGAAACGGGGCGGGAAACGGGGAACGGTAGCGGTGCGCAACGAGGTCCCAAGCACTGGAGCGCGCGGACTCAGGTCCGGGGAAGTGGAGTATTGACTCGGACTAGTTCGCCGGGCCCCAAGACGGACTCGCTCGTCGCAACGCAAAGAGAGATGAGCTCAGATTGTGGTAAAACGTCAATTAAAATTCCAGGGGTTCAGCACACGGGCTAGGCGCATAACGTGGTCGAGAACTCGATGACCGTCGATCGCTATGGTTGTTGGCGGTTGGATTGGATTGCGATGCAGGTAGGTAACCGTCAAAGGAATGACATGACGCCGGTCCCCCTCCATCAATCAATGAACAAGAAGGTCCCAAAAGTGGGGGGGACAATCAGATCCGTCCGATGTCATTCGCCAAGGCTCACCTAAGACTGCTCGCCCGCCTTGCCGGTAGGACCGCTAACTCCGGGCCCTGGTTCAGCGTCTGTCTTCAGGCAAGGGCCGTCGGTGGCCTGTCAGACAAACCAGATACACGAATCCCTCCGATTGGCGCGTTGATGGACAAAAGTATGCTGTGTGAATCAGCAGGCGACTGGCGGACGAATCCGCATGCAAGTCATCCGGTATGTATTGTTCCGGGGACCCGACTAATACATACATGAATCCAGACCGTCGTTGTAGTTTGCGCACACTTCATAGATCATGCTTTAACACGCTCACTCATGCCAAATCTAAATGTCGCCAAACGCCCCTCCATCAATCGCCTTCCTATGTATCCATCCATTCCATCCCGACCCTAACCCGCCCTCTCTCTTACTCGCAGAAACCTGCTGTGCCCTGTCCCAGGCAGCAAATCAAAATCCGGATGTTCCCATCACCACATATATGCCACTTTTCAAGCCATGTATAGCCTTTCCCATCCATTTCCCCAGCGCAAAGTTCATGTTCAGCTCATTTAACTCAGACGAGCCAGGTACGCCTTCCACGCTTTCCTCCTGTAGCGCTCAGCCTCTGTCGGGGGGTCCGCGGCCTGGATGATGCCACGTCCCACAATGACGATGTCAGTGCCGAGGAGGGTGATGAGCTTGGCCGGGGTGTTGTACTGCTGGCCCAAGCCGTCGCCCTCGACATGTCCGTTCTCCTCCTCGCCCGGTGGTGGTAGCTTGCAGCCAGGAGTCATGTGAATAAAGTTGTCATCTGGAGCAGAGTTGAGGGCTTCTTGCGCTACATAACCCATGACGAAGTCCTTGTGCTCGCGAGCGGCCTCGACACAGGCCTGGGTGTAGTCCTTGGTCATCAGGCAGCCCTTGGACGACATTTGCGCCAACAAGAGCAGTCCGCGGTCCATTGGCGGTTCTTCGATGCCGGGGAAGACGAGCTCATCGCCATGCTCGTTGGTCTTGGCCAATCTCGGTGAGTCAGCAGGCTCAAAGGACTGAGTGACGGTGGTGATGGAGACGATACTTCCTTTTCGCCCGTCAGAGTCCCTGTCGCTCCCGCCATTGTTTTGCTCTTCCCCATCATCAAACTGGCCAGCAACTGGTGTGCCAACAGAGACGGACGTCTTGACCTCGTAGTGAATGCGTGCCTTCCAGTTGGCCGCCGCTTCCGCCATGGCGCGGACCATGTCCTTGCCAGCGTCGATGTTGGCGTTGGTAATGTGTGCCCATTCTATTATGCGGGCAGTGCCGGCTGTGTACTGCATCTGGACTGTCTTTCCAATGTCGACGAATTTTCTGTCCTCAAAGATGAGGAAGCCGTGTTTTCTGGCGAGGGCGGCGAGCTTGACGCCAGTGCCGGTCTGCGGGTTGTAGTCCCATCCCGAGATCAAATCGTAGTGAGTCTTGAGAACGACGATGGACGGGCCGACCCTATCGGCAAGCGCGAGGAGTTCCCGAGCCGTTGTGACATCGGCGCTGAGACAGAGGTTGGAGGCCTTGAGGTCCATCAACCGAAAGAGGTACCGGGAGAGTGGGTGAGTGGCCGTCTTGGCCCGCTCAGAGTAGGGCTGGAGCAGAGTGGGATGACGGTCTGACATGGTTGCGATGTGCGATGGTCGTCTTTGGGGGTGAGTTTGTGTTGTGGGCGTGTCTAGGGAAAGTGGTATTTCGGCAGGCGGGATTGATAGAATAAAAACCTGTCCTACCCCACACGAAGATCTAGGCGGCGTGCGGTTTTAGGCGGTACTGCGGTAGTGGTGCTATCGGCGACTAAGGGACGGCGCCACGACAAGAAGAAGCGGTCGTGTGTTGTTGGGTATTGTGGCGTTGATAGTTCAGCTGGTGAAGAAAAGCCGTTGGTCGGTTCGTGGCGACTGGCAGAGGGGGGAGCTGCGTGTCTATAAGACCAGTCTCTCGGGGGTCGAGAAGGGGATATGTCAAGGATGACCAGGTACAGTCAACACGAAGCTGGGGGGCGTTGGGTTTTATCGAACGATGCAGAGGACAGGCACGAGCTCGTCAGGCGAGGAGGGGGCTTCGAGACTGGCAAGTCCCCTAGAGACTAGCGGTTTGCGGGCCCAGGACGGTGGATGCGAAGTTTGACAACCCCGCAGGGGCAAGGTCAAGGTCGGCAAGGTGAGGTAGCACTCTCAAGTGGCCGGAGAAACCAGGAAGTACGGGAGGCGGGGAAGTGTTGGATGAGTCCCGGCCAGCTGAGCTGAGATGGAATAGGGGATCGGCTCTTTGGGGTCCAGATTCGAGATTTTCGAGGAGTGGGAAAAAACAAGGTGTGGTGGGTGCTTCTTATAATAGGTGGTACATACAACAGTACCTACACAGCTGCTGACTGTCATCTCAGGTCTGGGTGCACTGCTTGCCGCTTGGCACTAAGGCGGAAGCGAATAGGTTGGGGGGGTATCCGGCACCCGGCGGATGCAATGTAAAAGACGTCCTGTCCTCCTGAGAGTACCATTTGCCTACGGTAATGTGATGAATCTGGTGATGCATGTGGTGTGAAATTGTGCCCCCTCCCCCCAGTGCCTCCGCAAAAGGTCAACCGTCCATTTTGGGGCTGGGAAGACCCTGGCCCGGCGCAAGGACCCCTTGCTGGCCCTTGTTGGCTCAACTCTCGTCTCGATGTGCCGTGGGTCAGGAACGCACAGACTTTCTCCCAATCAAGCCTCGAAAGCCGCCGTCAAAGAATTCAACTCCCGCAAGTGCGTCTCCACGCCAGACCAGACAACTCGTAGGCTGTCTTGATACCTCGTATTAGCTACGAGGTATGAATGTTCAGCTCCCTCCCTCCCTCCAGCGCTGTCAGCCCTGCTGATCACCATTGAGACATGATATGGGGGAATCAGATAGGCATGTAGATATATGTCGGTCGGGATGTTTTGCTGCACCTGAATGTCTATCCTGTCTCTTTTCACCGTGTCTCACGACCAACGACAGGTCACACACGCGTTCGAAGCTTTCTTTTTTGGCACCGTATTGAGACATTGTGCGACGACTGATTGGCGAGATTCCCGACTGTCCGGACCCCTCGTCCGTCCGCCGTCGGGCCGTGCCTATTCGTAGTGAGCTTTGGTATATCAGTTCGCCCCAGCTCTGAACGAGAGGAGGACATCGCTGACGGGCAGCAGATCGCAGCACGGGAACCAGGAAGCCATAAGCCACAGCTGGCCTTGACCGGCGGTTATGCTGCCGACGTCGGTGTGTAGCTGTGTCCTGTATGTAGGTTGGTACTTGGTTGCTGTGTTGGCAGTTCCAACAGGAGCCCGGACAGCCAAGTCAGCTCGTAGCAACCTGGAAAGTCGCAATGAAGCTGCAATGTGATGGGGGCGGAAGCACAGAGGAAGATCCGCAACAGTTTCAACTCGCCAGCCTAGCTGTCGACCTACCTAGCTGGGATTGCTTCCCGTCTCGCTGCAGAACGCAAGATAGATAGACAGGAAGCTGGAAACTCCCGTCAACCCTCTCCGGACTGCGTGTCCGGCCGCAGCTCTGATTTGTCTGGAAGTGCCCGGAGTAACATCCGGCTGCCCCTCGTCGACGGCGCTATCCTTCTTCGCCTTTCCCCTTCCACCGCTTCCCACTTCTGCAACCTTGTCGACCATCCATCCCTATTCAGCCTAGATGCGGCGCCCGACAAGGGTATTCGACAATGCAAGCACAGACCCTATCAGCCGAATGAGACGTCCACAGCCCACACTCCCATCAGCTTGATCGCCGCCTGATAAATTCGCTTCGAGAGGATTTTGAAAAAGCCTCAGTAAAGTTCATGACTTCTTACGGATATAATCACTTCTACGCGGAGTAGTCTCTCCACGCGGACGTTGCTAGTTCCATGCTTTCCACCGTCCCCATCTCGGACTCGGAGGATGACGGGTTGTACATAAGAACGGTGCCGGGCAATCCGGTCGTTTAGAAGCGGCAGATCTACCTTTGACGTTGGCGAACGGCTGCGAGGGACAAGTGACCGGGCTGGCGGATGCTAAGAGGTGTCGGTCTCAGATTCAGTCAGCTCAGACCCGAACCCTGGGGACCGGTGTGTCTTTGAATTGTCATGACTTTGATGGTCAGGATGGCTTAACAATTACGACAGCCGGCTTGGCGTTGGACATGTGGGGCAGATGGAAGCTCTTATCGACCCTCTTATCGCATCTTGGCATTCTGGGTCCCAAAATTTGGGCCAAGCGATTTCATGGCAGAAGCAATCGAATGAATCCACTCCCTGGCTGCATCTGGTGTTATCTGCCAAAACTCCGTCATCAACTGCCCGAAACCCCGGCGACCTCAATCTCGGTCTTTGCTCGAAGCTGGTCTCCTTTCCAAAAGAAAACACCACAGGTTTTTCTTACGCTCATTCATACCCTATATTTTTGTAATCAACCCTCTGGAGAAGCCAATCCCCCCAGAGCCGCATTGGCAACCCGCGATAACAAATCGACCGCGCCTTGCTTCAGACCCAACTGGAACCCTCATATCGAGAGCCCCACGATTACCCCTTTTCGCGCAATTCGGAAGAGCCGGCATCGCCCTCAACTCGCCGCATGATATTCGCACGACTCTTCTCTCATCGACGATAGACTATCAGACAAGAAAGATGGCAGGTGTTACAACGAGGAGACAGGCCGCGGCCGCGCAACAAGAAAAGAATGCCACCACCGTCAACGGCAATGCTGCCCCTGTCATGGAACAGAAGAACGCTCCACGAGATATCCTCGATGACCTCGACGATGACGAGCCCGCCGAGAACATTTTCCTTTTCTATCCCAACCTGATCGGATACGCCAGAATCATCCTCGCTGTTGCGTCGCTCTACTACATGCCCATTCATCCTAGAACCTGCACACTGCTATACTCCATCAGTTGTCTGCTCGACGCATTAGATGGAATTGCCGCCAGAGCGTACAATCAAAGTACGCGCTTCGGCGCCGTGCTTGATATGGGTAAGCACTTACTCTCTATAGTTACAAAACGTGCGACAAGATGCTAACATGCTCATGCAGTTACGGATCGGTGCACCACTTCCTGCCTTCTGACTTTCCTCGCTTCTGCCTTTCCCCGGTGGGCCATCCTCTTCCAGCTCCTGATCTCTCTTGATCTTGCCAGCCACTGTGAGCTATGCTTCTCCCCGGTGCTAGATTAGGAGCGCAATGCTAACTTTCGACTTCAGACATGCACATGTACGCCACCCTTGCCCTTGGCGGCAGCAACACCTCCCACAAGAACGTCGACAAGTCCCGTTCCTTCCTCCTGAACCTCTACTACACCAACAAGGTACTTGCCTTTCCAGCTTACTTTTACGACGAACTGCGTCACTAACATTTTATCCTCCTTAACCAGAACGTGCTCTTCATCGCCTGCTTCCTGAACGAGGCTTTCTTCGTCGGCTTGTACCTCCTCTCCTTCAGCTCCCCGCTCCTCTCGCCCTCTCTTCTTGACACCGTTCCTCCCTCGACCGCCGCCGCCATTCACCAGGGCGCCCAGGTCAACTCCAGCATTCTCAGCATGATCTTCGCCAACCCTTACAGCGCCGGTGCGCTCGAGATGGCGAGGGCGAACAAGATGGACAGCTTCTGGCCCTGGGTTATCACTGGTGTGAGCTTCCCCGTCATGGCCTTCAAGCAGGTCGTGAACGTGATCCAGCTGGTCAAGGCGAGCAGGTGGCTCGCTGAGGGCGACATTGAGGCCAGGAGGGAGGCTAGAAGGATTGCCAAGAGGAGGCAGGAGTAAGGCATATTCCCGGCTTCTACGAGAATCTGTGGGAGTGGTGCTGTAAGATATGGCTGTTGGGGTTGGAGGAACCGTCTGCCCACCACAAGCCAGAAAGATGCTGTTGTACGTTAATGGTTGGTTGGAACATGGCCGGAGGGGAGCATGGCATGGTTGGTGTGAGAGCGGACTGTTCGGATCAGTTTAGTTGTCGGTTTGCATTGTTTGCATATTGGGATTGGAAGTTTTCCCTTCAGGGCGGCGTTTGGGCTGGTGTGGTTGGTTGGTGGGTTGGTTGGTTGGTGGGTTGGTTGGTTGGGGGTGATATGTGGTCATGGTACAACAGGGAGTGTGTGCAAAAGGGACCATCACTAGAAGGGAGGGCTGTCAGCATGTTCTCTTGGTATCCCGTTAAATACGGTATACGTGCACGTTGTATCTCACTTTGTTGGGGGGGGGGGGGTAGGGGGGAGCTTTCGGTTTTTTTCTTCCTTTTCTTGGTTTTTTTTCTTTTTGCCGAAAGTTCTTGACACAGTTTCTTTTTTGTTTGGGTTGTACATAACTTTTTATTTTATTTACATAAGGTTAATATTTCTTCTTTTGACATTATTTTGTTTGGATTTGGTTGTGAAATCGGGATGCTGAGTTGGTGTGGGGATGGTTTATGCGGTGCTTATGCTCAGGGGTTCAGGGGTCTTTGGGGGAGACTAAGTCAACACCACCACATGTGTTACGGAATATTACTGTATTAATCAGTCCCTAACAGTGAAAAATGTGTACACTCTGCCGGTTAGTTCGTCGACCTTGTTCTCCCAGAACCACCCTTCGCTGCTTCCGCCCAGGCGCCCGGCGTACCATTCTGCCCTTGCTCAGCCCCGGTCACTCTCGGAAGTAGTGGTTGGGTTGTGTCCGTGGGAACCGGTCATGAGTTGCTGCCTCTCATCGTCATCTTGTGGGATCCAGGAGTGGCATTTGGCGCCTAGTTTGACGAGGTCGTCCGCCGTGGGGAGCCAGGTTTGGGTAAAGGCTGAGAAGTCAGGGTTGTTGGTGTCGGGTTGTTTGAAGAAGGAGCTTTCTTCGTCTAGGCGGGCTTTGATCTGGGATGTGTCATTTGTTTTGGATGAGAGGAGGAGGTAGAGGAGTGTTCGGTAGGCTAGTGTGTCGGCTGATGATGCAGCGAGGAGGATGGAGAGGAGGATGGAGAGAGGTGTGTTAGTTGTGAGGAGGGGGGTGGTGAGTTTGAGGAGGAGGCTGGGTGAGAGGGTTAGCTGTTTTTGATGTTGTAGGATTGGGGATTAGGAGAGATGCTGGTGGGGAGAGGAGAAAGGATGGGGTGAATACCTGGAAACTAAGTAGAAGTTTGATCGTAGGAGTCGGATCCAGGCTTTGTGGAGGGTTTGGTGGAGGATGTTGCGCAGGGGGACGAGCTGCATTTGGAGTTGGTCGTGGGTGGCGATGAGGGTGATGAACTTGTTTGGGGTGGGTAGTGCTTTGGCTGTGGGAGTTGGAAGGGTCAGTTAGTTTGGCCCGTTGGATGGGAGAGGGAACTCGGTGTCGTGTACTTATGTCTGTACTGCCGTTGCTGCCGTTCATATGACCTCCTGGCGCATGATTGTGAGCAATTGCCTCTCTTGTGGCAAGATAACTGGCGAGGAAGTCGATGGTGTTGCGACGGAAGGCATTGATCTCAATCTCAAGATCCTCATCGCTCGGCCGTCCTGAGAGGTATTCATGGTCATGGCTGTGTGCGGGATTCGCACTTTGAATGAGTGAATTGTTTGCCATTTGATCGCTGGGTGCAGTCCGCCTATGCCAGAAAGCGATCGGTGAACATGTTGGGTATGTGAAGGTCATTTAAGTTCGAAATGTGGTTGGTAACTGAGCAGCAAACGAGGGGAACCTTAGAAAGCTGGTTGTTTCAGCTTGTTGGGCTCAACCAGCTTGTTCAACGACTGGGCAGTCATATCCCGCACGTCACACGAGAAAAGAAGCATTCTTGACAGGGGTGACGTCCAATCTTCATCAAAAGACATGGCATGAGACTTGTTGAATGCATAAATATTGATCCTTATCAGACATACAGGCATATCCCAATGAATAGAATTGGTCATGAACGGGTTGCAGCAGCGGTGGCCCGCCCCCTTCTGCACAATGCCCTCCAAGTTCGTTTGCAAACCTTCTTCAGGCTACTACGACTCAAACTCCAGTGTCCTCCGGCCTTTTCCATTCTTGCTTTTCCTCGATACAAATAATGCCAACGTATCATCAGTGGTTGTTATTGACGGCACTTTCCATCACACTTGGTTCTCGGGGGCAGCAGGACTCCGATCCCCAAGATGTCAGAGACGACAAAACTGTACCTTCTGGTTCTGCATTCGAATGTCGATGCCACCGAGGATACAGTCAACCGAGGATTAGCATCTGTATTCCGCGCAGCCTCAGTAGCTGACCATGATTTGTGGAAAGCAGATCTGAACTATCCGCAATCCAATAATAGTCACTGCTCTACACAAGTGAGTGGCCATTCGTATTCCGCCACAGCATGAGACTTCACGTTTGAGGACTGACATGCTCCTAGATTGTCTTGGAACGCAAGAGCCCCCGCGGCCCCGACCAAAGTGTCGAAGATGATATCCAACGACTATGCGACAGTCTCTTCAGCTCAGGCGATGCTTTGTCTTACTAAGACTGCGGGAGAAGCACAATGTCCAGTTCATACATGACCTTCCTCCGGGAAAATCAATAGAGGGCATTGAGGGAAACAACTTTCAGATCTTTCTCCGTCAGTTCTTAACTCACAAGGCAGAGAACTCGGCAAAGGTGTTGCCGACAGACCTTCAATGCCAGAACCTGCAGACAGAGAATCGCGATGAGTGAGCTTATGGATTGTAAGATTCACCCTTTGTATCCCACTTTTTCTTTTTGGAATCAAGACAAACTTACCACGTGTATTCGCGTATTAGCAAAAAGGTCATCATGAGCATAGATGTTTCGTCTTTAGGCCCTAGCATCGTATTGAAATGGGCCAGTGGAATGCAAAATGTTCAGAGCATAATAGCGTCGATAGGAACGGCCAGCAACTATCTTCAAGCAGCTGCATTTACAGCCCTCTCGGTGGTCTGGGTGCTACAGCAATGTGTATGTAATCCCCTAAGTTCCAATGGACTTTCTGGTTTTCCCGTGAATAGTTTCTTTCTGGTGCTTTTATACTGAAAGTTTTAAATAGATCGAGCCTAAACAGCTCAGTTGCACCGAACTGCATAAAAGGATCAACGAATCAGCCCAGAAGCTGGAGAAAATGCAATATGAGGTGAATCAAGCCTTTCGACAAGTGCGATGCAGGGAAGACGAAGGTAATTACCTACCTACCTGATATGGCCGTCGGTTTTTTTTTTTTTTTTTTTTCTTTTTTGCCAGAATCTTTGCAGGAACGGACCTGACTGTCTAGTAAGAACAAAGAAAGAGGCAGCGAGCCGGATAGTAAAACTTCAAACCGCAATCGATACCCTCGGAAACTCACTGAAAGAGGTGGAAAACTTGTACACACTTGCAACAGTGGAGAGAAATTCGAAGCGATGGTCCAAGTGGTCGTGGATTGCCACAGCTGTGGTTGTGGGAACCGTCACAGGGGCTGGTGGCTGGTACCTTGTTGGTCACACTGTGTGGTGGGCAACCGCAACAACCACAGTCAAAGTGACTACGAGTGTTGCTAGGGTGGTAGTAGGTAGTGCAGGTGTGGAAGTCTCTTCGTGTAAGGCGTGGCATCGAAATGACGACGGAAACAAGGCAAAACAAGGCAAGTCAGAAATGCCCTGAGCTTCCCATTCCTGTCTGCTACCACTCATATTGCCTCGTACTTCGTGTGCGATAGGTTGGATGACAAGGAAGTGGACCACATATGGATGTGGCCCAGGTAAGTTTGAACTACCCAAGCCATCTACCCACATTAAACCCTCCATAACCCTGGACCTCCGAAAGCCCCCCGATATCAACACACACTTTATATTCCACCCACAGAGACCAAAAATGAAGCTTTTCTTTTACTTTTTTTTGCTCCAGATACCCAACAATGGCCAAATATACCGAGGAGGATATTAAAAATGCCCAGAAAGACATTGCCGCTGGTATAAGCTAGCGAAAAGCGTCTAATAAGTACGGGATTCCACGTTCCACCCTAAAGCACTATATTAATAGTACCCTACTAAGGAACCTTACCTATGAAAACCAATAGCGACTTTCTTACGGCTAAAAAGACTTTATTATTTAATAGATCCTTTATTAGGAAAGCCTTAATTACGCTCTTACTTATATTAATATAAAAGCTTTAGTAGTTAATTTACTAATTAAATAAAGTAATTTTAACCCCCTTAGTAAGTACTAGGTATTATATTTTATTAGCCGTTATTCCGATATTAAAATAAAGGTTAGAAAGAAAATTAATTACGTTAGAGTTAACGAAATTACCCCGGAAAATATTAATAAGTTTTTTAATTTATATTTTACCGTTAATTAGATTAAATTTAGATATAGGTATAACTACGATAAAGTAGGTATAATGGAAAGTTAGGGAAAAAACGGTTTAATTATTAAATTTTCGAAGTAAGATAAGAAATTTATATATATTAAATAGAATGGAAGAAGGATCTGGATTACTATACTTAAGTATATTTTATAAGACGGGAGAGTTTTTTTCCCCGAAATTAATTTTAAAAGTAAAGACCTTTAAAAATAATAGTTTAAGGATTAATTAAATAAGGACTAGTATATAATTATATTAAAGAATAGTTAGATTAGTAATAATTTTACTATTAATTAGCTTAAAAAGGTTTTTATATTAAAAATTAAACTTAAAGATTTATTAAAATCCTGTTTTCTTATTTATAATAATTCTAATTTATATATTATTAACGACTTTATAATTCGGTACTATAGAAATAATATTTATTTTCTTTTTCTACCCCCCTATTACTCTTACGTCCTTTAACCCTTTAATATTAATTACTTTTTTAATATAAAGAAGGTATATAAGAGGTTTATAATTATAAACGACGCCCTTATTAATTATACGCTTAATAGTAAAGTCGATTTAGTCCGGCTATATAATTTTACCCGTAAGTAGGGCTTTAGGAAAGAAAATATTACCGGCGGCTAGCGTAGGATAGGATTATGGCCCATGCGTAGGCGTAAACCGCTCTTTTTAAGCTAAGTGATAGTCCCTGTGGTGCCGTTGGATCTCTTTTTAAAAACACCTACTTTCCATACCGTGGGGGATTCCCAGGTGGCCAAGAAGGTCAGGGACCTACTCAAGAACCATACGCCGGCCGGAAAACGGCTTGCGGCAAGGACTCTCACCAGTACTATACTCACACTAAGATCTGAGGCATCCATCCACAAAGCTGATGCGGCAAGGTATTAATAGAACGCCCAGAAGGCCCAGGAGGTAAGAAAAAGGCGGGTAAGTTGAATAGAAAAGACTCGAATTCCAAGTTTATGAGGCTCTGTGAACTGGAAGAGGCCCGCATTGAAGGGAGGGTGGTGGAGGAAGAAGTGGTAGCCAAGGAGGATGTGGAGCAGCTAGAGCCAGCCCAGCCTGTGCGGCGCAGCGCACGGTCATCGGGTTTAAACCAGGCGCAAGCAAGAAGCAGATGCAATGTCTGACTCTGACAGTGATTGAACGACATTTTGGTATAACTCCCATAGAAATTGACCCAATATTAGTCTTGTTGTGGCCAGTGTGATCATTCAGGGGTAATCTCAACAAGGTTGTGTGGCTGGTGTGGTGGTGGTGGACCAGATCCACATGTGGTCCATTTCCTGGTCATCCAACCTACGTACTAACTTTAATTTCTTCCCACTGTCTACAGCCCAACAGCAACTTGCAAAGATCAAGAAGATCCTCCATCAGACCAGCCTCTGGCTCCACCTCGCCATGTATGAACAGCAGATCAAGAACAACGGGGGCGAGGCAGCACTCACGGGGGAAGACCGGAAAAAACGGACTCAGTTCCGTGAACGGATGAAAAACGTCTTCAACATTGAAAACCCTTTGGAGGATGCAGACAATCCAGACTACCTTGGGCAGATTCTAGGGAATGAAAAAATCGTGACGAAAGATCTGCAGGAGCTTGTCAACATAATCGAGAAGCGAACACTTCCAGGTTGGTTTACCTGATGGTGTTCACGTTGACGGGGACTTGCCTGGTGCGGTAGGTTGTTCAAGTTGGCATGAGATTGGGCGGGAGAAATATGCAATTACCTGAAGCAACAGACCGTTGGATGGAATTGGCGGCATACACGAAGGCTCTCTTGTTTACGGGATGATGATGATTTATGATCAAGTTTTCTTCCTGCTTGCTTATACTATCAACCTTGACAATAGTGATCGGCAAGCTTCCAAGATATCCACAAACAGGCCTGTGTGATTCTTGCGCCGAGATTTGTACCAAAAGCTTCTTGTCCGGTAGATATAGGTAAAGATGGGTTTGAACAGGATATTCAGTAAATTCGAGACGTAATTTTCAATGTAGTTATTGCTGTTATCATTAGCTACTGGTACTGCGTCCAGAGTTGTCACCAGTGTTGCCATTTCTGCCGTCTTTCAACCGACGACTCCCTTGTCTTCAAGCTTATCGTGACAAGCCCTGCCACCAGAGGCTTTCTAAACTGACTATTATGTTCATGTGAAGATGTAAAACGTGGGTTGATGAGGGGCAATAACAGTACTGGTGTGGGAGTGGAAGCAGCTGAGTCTCGTTAAAATATAGCTGGCCTAGAAAAGAGGGTGATTGAGTATCTTGTGAAAGCAAGTACAATCATAGTCAACTCTCAGCCTATTCATGAACCACTAACGTTTCACAAAAAAGATTCGGCGAACATGCCTTCTTGGTATAATCCCTCCGATTGATAGCTACTCAGAACTGCCGAATAACCTCTGGAAAAGTCCAATCTTCTGGCATCCCCAAACCAAATGGAAGCAAGCTATCGGACTATGAGGCAACATGGCATAAAAAACAGCCCTTATGATACAATTCAAGTCCCGAATTCACTCGTGTGCCATCAAATATCATATGGATGGCCCCATCAAACTCGTAATCCGTCTCCCCTGAGCTTGGCACGAGTCTCGTTTCTACGCAGCTTATGCACACGCCGATCATTCACCAATGTCGAACCGGACGGCATGTCCCTCAGCTTGACATCCCCAGCTCCGTCTTGTTGACCCTCAATGCGGACCTTCTTGTCCTCTCCGTCATTAACCTCCTCGGCAAAGCCATACCACGCGATCGTCATCACGCCCAGTATACCTGTCAGGCAGCTAAAGACCAGGGCAGCGATGCCTGGACCGGTAAACCTATTTTGTAGCCAAGAAATGTTATCATCATGGTCATCCCAGAAAGCGCAGTTATCCTCCCTCCCACATCAGATCATCACCATCATCATCGGTGTCTGTCTCTTACTATTCCAACATGAAATAGCCATTCGACTCATCCTCAGACTCTGTATCAGATGAAGGCCACTCTGCTGAAGTAACGTACCCGTCAGGCAACCGATTGGGCGGTGCATTCTCCCCATCTAGGTTCAAAAAATCCTCAGAATTTCCGGCGGCATTTCCTCCTGTGGGCACTCCCATCTTCTTGCAGACGTCAAGATGATCGGGAGGAATGGTGAGGGACTGTTGAATTTCGAGAGGCGCTTCAACAAAGGTTGCCATGAGTCCAGATTGCACATGCCACTCTATGTGGCAATGGAAAAGCCATACACCTATTCTCGATTGTTAGAAACCATACAATGAACGAGGGCAAAGAGAGAAAAAAAAACCTGGGTTGTCGGCTTTGAAGCGTAGAACCAAGTTCCCATTAGGGTGTACGAAAACAGTATCCCTTCTCATGGGCACACGCGCGAAGTCCGATAATGTGATGCCTGAATCTTGAAATGTTCCTGCATCGTCTTCAGAGCGCCAGACGACCTGAAAATCGTGGCCGTGGAGGTGGAATGGGTGGATTCCCGGATCGAGGTTGTTCAGCACGATCTCCACAATGTCATCCTTTTGGAGAACAGTGCTATGAGTGTAGGTGCCGTAAACCACCGGGTTGGTTGCTAGATCTTGAGAACTCATGACGGTGTAAAGGGTGGGAACCTTGGGAGGAACATATGTTATGTTATTGAAGAATGCACTGGACAATGGTCAGAATATGAAACTGGAAGTGTTAGAAACGCATAGCACCTACTAGTTGGCTCCGTCACCAAGATTGTCCATCATCACATCCAACTGCACAACTTGATTTGGTTCACCAAAGAGAGGCTGATCATCTAACGGTGTCAAATCAAAGTCATCAACAGGATTGAAAGAACCGTCCAGCTTGGCCGCATCTGGCCAGTTGCTGTCTTCGTCGTAGATCAGCCACCCGGTTATATTGGGGTTGAAAGACTTTGGTGGACTGTCAAATAGATTCTGACTGGTCAGCTAAGAAAGGACATGAATAGAAACGGGAAACTTACCAGATCCATGCTGCCAACGAATGGAAAGTTTGCCGAGCCGTCTGCCTTGGTGGTGATGAGGAAGCTGTAACGTTGACCAGGAGTTACGTATATCATGTTTGCTTCCACCGGGTGGGTATAAATACCATCAATCATGATGATAGTCATGTTGTGCCCCTCGAACCAGAGGTAGACACTGGCAAAAGCGCCCATGTTGATCACATCAAAACGGTATGTCGTCTTAGGACTGACCATGATGCTTGCATCGATCTCGTCGTTGAATAAACCCAAATCCGGTACGGGCTCTGCTCCTGTTGGGTTGGCCTTGCTCATGAACCGGGCGATAAGGTCTGGCATCTTGTCTAGGTACCAGTCTGAGACGGTAAGAAGCCGAGTCTCGCTGTACTTGTCCGCAAAAGGGTCATCCGGGTCGTGAATGATAAGGGGCCCTCGCAAGCCATCTGGATACTGCCCATGAACATGTGAGTGATACCAGTAGATACCGGGCTCGTTAACAGTGAAGTTGTATGTGAAGCTTGAGCCAGGTGGGATCGTGCACTGAGACACATGAACCGGACCGTCCATGTGTGTCTCATTCCGTAGATATAGACCGTGAAAGTGAAGAGACGTAGGCTCAGTCTCCAGCAGGTTGAGAAGATGGACAATGACGCGGTCCCCAACTGTGGCTTCCATCAGAGGCAAAGGCCATTTACCATTGATGCCAATGACTGGCTTGGTCGAATTCTCATCGGCATCAGGGTCGTCAGGGCTGGCCACCACCCAAGAGACATTGAACTTGTAGACGTGGGTCTTGTCGCTGTACGTGTGCCAAAGAGCAGAGTCGTCGACACCGCTGTCGATATCGTGAGCGGCATCAGGTTGCTGCGCATGGCCAGAAAGACAAAAACCAAACAAAAGCAGGAATATCCAAAGCAAAGAGTTTGGAGATCCAGAGATGCCGCGATTCATATTGGGTTCTTGTTTTCAACAGTGGAGAGTTCTTTGAGGTCAGAGAAAGGATTAGGGAGATATCGAAGAAGGCCACACATGGAAGCCGGGAACGCGCGGGAGGTTGTTGATGGATCAGAAAAGACGTAGCCCAGTATCCGATACCCGATAGCTATCCGATAGAAGCTGGACGGTCGGAGTAAAGCACTTGATACCCGACCCCGCCATCAGAGAGTCGGGCACCCATGTTTATGACGGTGTTGAGGCAGGAACGAGTGGTCGGTTCGCAACCTGCGACTGCTGTCCAAGTCACCACATGGGTAGGGTGGGACAAGCATCATAATCGGTGTCTCAGAAGGCGAGGGATTTAAATCACCATCAGGAAGATTTCCAATGCTTTAGCTGTCTGCATAAGTGTCTTTGTATATTGACCCTTCAGAATGAGGCTACATAAGTAGCCCCTTGTCAATCACCCCTTCGAGATCGACAGTCCACAAAGCTTAACTGTGCTTGGCTTCCTTGGCCCCTTGGCAAAATCCCCCTTTTTGTCTCGTGTCTATGTACACCGGTGGTTGGACCGTGATCAACTGGCTCATGATATATCATGTCTGTACTTTTTCACACGAGTACCCCAGGTCAGGCAGCCGTGTGTTGATGTGCTCAAAAGTCGACTTGAGAACCTTGATGGCCTCGGAGGAGTCTCACGTGGCAGTTTTCCCCGAGTACACCGAGTCCCCTGAGATCAAACACAGGAAAGAACGACTTATCAACGCGTCTTCATACCCCGCGTTTGTGCCACCGCCTTCGATAGCGTGACTGCCTTGTTGTCCAGATGGTCTGATATTATGGCCCAACTCACCACACCCACTTTCTCGTCTTTGTCTGTTCCCCCCATTCCTTTCCATTATTGTGTTATCAGACAATCTCGATCTGATAGCCCACCGAGACCGACCTTCTCTCCAACTATCTTGGCATACTTGTTGGCCCTCAGTGTACCTCAGACACTTCGGCTTCGAAGCAAAGAGTCGCAAAGATGGTCTCTCTCTTCTCGATACCCATCTTCCTCGTCACTTTCCGGGAGGCCCTCGAGACAGCCATCATCGTCTCGATTCTCCTGGCCTTCATCAAGAAAACCCTCTACCGATCCCATCGCGCAATCTACAGGCAGCTCGTCCGTCAAGTCTGGCTTGGCACCTCGGCCGGCCTGGTCATCACTCTCATCATCTCTGGCGCCCTCATCGGAGTGTTTTACTCCCTCGGTGTCGACCAATGGGGTGCCCGTGAGCTTACTTATGAAGGCGCCTTCTCTCTCATCGCCTCTCTCATCATCACTGCCGTCGGTTTCGCCTTATTGAGAATCGGCAAGATGCAAGACAAGTGGAAAGCCAAGATCGAGCAGTCGCTAGGCGAGCAGGCAAGGCAAAGACGAACCAAGAGAGGCACTGTCATGATGTGGTTGGAAAAGTATAGCATGTTCATGCTGCCCTTTGTTACCGTGCTCAGGGAGGGGATTGAGGCGGTGGTTTTCATTGCGGGAGTTAGCTTCTCTGCACCTGTTACGTCGGTGCCGATTGCTGTGATTGTTGGACTGATGGTTGGTACAGGAGTTGGCTTGGCCATGTACAAGTAAGTCTTTGACAGGATCGGATGAAAGAAGGCGCAGGTTTCTCACATGGCGAACAATAGGGGTGGTTCACATACCAAAATGAAGCTGTTCCTCGTCATCTCGACTTGTTTTCTCTACCTGGTCGCAGCCGGTCTCTTCTCAAGGGCTGTCTGGGCCTTTGAACAGGAAATTTGGCAAGACATGGTGGGCGGTGGTGATATTGCCGAGCTGGGCTCAGGTCCGGGAACTTATGATATTGACAAATCCGTTTGGCACGTCGATGTAGGTTCTCTCCTCCGATCTCAAGGTGAAAGGCGCTAATAATCATCGCAGTGTTGCAGCCCCTTTGTGAACGGTGGATCAGGTTGGGGATTCCTCAACGCTGTTCTAGGCTGGAATAACTCGGCGACGTACGGCTCGGTCATATCATACAATGTCTACTGGATTGTAGTCATTACCATCTTCATGATCCTGAGGTACAAGGAGGTAAAGGGACACTGGCCTTTCTCCAAGAAGCCAACACCGACAGAGGAGCACATTGGACGCAGGGAGGAGAGCATCAAGATAGCCATTGGGCCTGGCAGTGACATCCTCTGCGTTGAGGGAAGTGCGGCTCCGTATGTGAAGATTGAAGACAATATTTCAAGGATGGTTTGAGGCTTCGCTGGAGATTTCTGAAGGCTTTGATGGTTGTCTGGGCCTCACTGAGAGAGTTGATGGAGGCTAGGGTAATGGCCGACATTTGTATCAGAGGTACTGCCGCTGTATGGTAGTTTACTCAATTTGAAACACATTCAAAGGGATGATATCAATAAGGCGTGTTCTTTGTTTATGAATGGCATTTTCGACTCTCATATAAGCCACAGCAGCGCGTGTGAACCGAGCCACAAGGCGTGAGCAAGCCAGGAATTTATCGTGAGCAAGCCAAAACCATCACAAGCAAGCCAAAAGTATACCACAAGCAAGCCAGAAATATATCACAGGCAAGCCAGAAGTATATCACAAGCAAGCCAGAGGTATCGTGCACAAGCCAGAAATAACGCGAATAAGTGTAAAGTAATACCGTGAGTAAACCAGGGAGTTTGCCCGCAGCTCTCAAGACATCATTTGGGAAAAGACTTCTCCCCAAGCTTCCATTTTCCGAAGCTGATTCCTTCTGTCTCCCCTTCATTTTCTCCGGCTGTCCAATCCCACTCATCGGCTGTGAATACCTCTCTTGCTAACTTCTCTGCCGCAAATGCACCCCCGTATCTTAGCCTCTGATCAGAGCTCATCGAGCTGGTATATTTCAAGACCCTTTCCTCCCCATCTTCCGCCCCGTGCCTCCTTTCCCAGGAAGCTTCCACTCTATCCTTCGCCCACTCTACCCGATTGATACCCACCCCGCCACCTCCCAGCCTGGCCTCGACAAACTCCAATATCCTGCCCATCCTACCCCTCAGATCGCAATGCCTGTGGTTGTTATCGATTTGATACGCCGGGCATTGCTTAAGAGTCTTGATTATGTGCAAGACGTATCATCTCTCCACCTCTTCATTACGTGTGGAAATACCCTGTTC